CCCTTTGCTGCATGTCACCCCCCCCTCTTTTCCTTTCCTGTCTATCTTGAACTGTCCTATTCATAAAGGCAAAAGCCCCAAAAAAATCACTTTCAAACACTTCATCCTTATCAGAAAGAAAATCTAAAACACCAATCTTGATGACATGGACATTGTTTTCACTGGACAAGAAGTAACTAGTAACTAAGCTGGCGAATATAGTGGAATAGAAAGTATAAAATTTGTTTTCTGAGATGTAGTGGACCTGGGCTGTACACAGTATTTATAAAAAAACAACAAAAAAAAAAAAAACTGGGCCTTTGGATTTATTTATAGGGGCTTAATCTACTGTGAGGACTGTACATAGAATATAGAAACATTGTAATGTCATCATGTACTGATGGCTTTGATTACTAGAGTATTCTTTGTGCAAACTGCAGTGTAGTAAAAACAGAACTTAAAGTAAAAAAGAAATGCCAACAACTTTACCGCTGCTTCATTTTCAAAATAAAATAAAATTAGATTTAGTTTAATAAATGCTAAACTGACATAAAAGTATTTAAGTATTCAGAGGGATATTTTTCAGATATTCTATTGCACAAGAAACAAAGGAGTTACAGCAGTGTTAACGATATGGCGGAATATGACAAAATCATATACAGGAAATTAAAACCGGTTCATCTGGTATATCGCCCAGAAGTTTAAAGTTGCATAAAAAGAACCTCAGATTTGTACTTGTACACTACTTGAGTAAATGTACTTAGTTACATTCCACCACTAAAGCAGTTACCACAAGGAGTTATTAAAACAGAGGCCGTTCCTGAGGAACTGAAAATTAAATCCCAAATCAAGAGGTAATCTCTGTCAGATAGTGGGGTTCTCTCTCTCTTTGCAGGCAGGAACCCTTGTCCAGATCTTCCTTTAACCCCAGAGTGTCTCGTCCTCACAGGGTCGTCCACAGGTCACAGACAGCTGCAACCTCGCTTTTACAGCTTTACACTCGGACACGCTCCAAGCAGAAAAAAGCCCTCCGCAAGGTCAGAGAGGAAAGGAGTAGGCGGCAGGGGGATTTTTTTTTTTTTCTTTTTTTTTTTTTGCGAATGCATCTGGACTTCATTGTAGGGAGAGTCCCAACAAACGGATGGGCAGCTGCCGGCAAGCAGCAGGCCTCCGCCTCTCACTCTCTGTCCAACCCTCCCTCCCATTTCGTTCGTCTCTCCTCCACCCCTCCCACCCCTTGCGCACACACACAAAAACTGAAACCCCCCGACAGGAAGTACAGGCTTGGATCCCAGCGGGGGTTCCTAATTCAAACCAGTCCAGTGGAACAGCCAGAGGTGGCCGCTCCCACTCCCTCTCTCCCTCTTTCCTCTTTTATTCTGGCTCTCTCGCTCTCTCTTTCTGGCTCTGTGGGCTTCAACCAGCTGCCCCCGCATGTCCTCGCAACACGTGCGCGCACACACACACACACACACACACACACACACACACACACACACACACACACACACACACACACATCTTGATGATAGCACACAAGCGCACACCCACCACCTCCTCGTCCAGTCTTGAAGAGCCAAAAGCTTTTGGGCAGCTCACCAAAGCTCTTTGTGGTCTCACACACTCCCGGAAAGAGAGGGAGTGTGAGAGGAGGGGGCTGATGATTTAGATTGATGTGTGTGTGTGTGTGTGTGTGTGTGTGTGGGTGTGGGTGTGGGTGTGGGTGTGTGTGTGTGTGGTGGTAGTGGTGTCAGTGTGTGGCGGTAATAAGTCTTCCAGGTCATTTGGGGGCAACCTCTAAGGTACTACTGAAGTCTTCTAGCGCCATCTGAGCAACAAAGAGTGGGAGAGAGTGAGAGTATGTTTGTCATCTGAAATTTAGATATGAAGGGAAGTCCCTAATGTTTTAATAGATGGTCTTTATCAGTGTGTGCTCTTCTTGTATAAGTGTGTGTTTTGAGGTGTAGCAGAGAGAGGAAGTAGCTCTGTTTTGCTTCTCTCTCTCCTCCATGCCCCCAGCCTCTCATCACACCTCAACTTCAAAGCCTGTGGACCCCAGTTGTCCCTTTGGCTAGACAATGCACACACACACACACACACACACACACACACACACACACACACACACACACACACACACAAAAAAAATTCAGACAAACTCCCATCCTCATCGTAGCTGCAGAACCTGCCTGCTATCTCCATTTGCTATATTTAGGCCGTGAGCATAAGATGTCTGAAATTGCCGGTAGTAAACTGTCATGGGTGTTTGTGCAGCAGCAGCGGCGTCTGTAATCGACTCTCAGTTCCATCTCAGGAGGAAATAGACTGCCTCTGATGCCTGGCCCACATATAGGTGTCTCCACAGTCCACAGACGTCAGCGATACACCAACGCAAACTTAGGAATGTCACAAGGAAAGAAATAAATGAACGCAGTGTAATGTTTTTTTTTACTGTCTCTTCTCAGGTAAAAGGGGTGGCCGTGGGTCAGATGATGATGACGATGATGATGATCTTGAAGATCTTTCTGACATGAGCGATGAAGAGGGGATGGAGGGCGGAGACTCAGGTTGGTACAATATTAACGTCCAGAAAGAAGCATACTGGAGTTATTTTATACGTTCTGTTTGCTTTGTGTTCATTAATTTAATAGAAGAGACTATAACCATGTATATCAGTGCATGTATTAACTGTCTCATTACTCAGGGTTGGCAGTTAGGGGTAAAACTTTAGATCATTTTTGTATAGCTGCAAAAACTAATGGATTAGTCGATCAACAGAAAATGAATTGGTATCTATTTTAATAATTGAATCATTTTAGAATTTTTTTGTCATTACTAAAAGCGAAAACTGACGTATCTGATTTGTATTCTGAGGATTTGCTGCTTGTAGTTTTATCATTTGTAAACTGAATATCTTGGTGTGAAAATCATATGAAATCATTAGTAAAGCGTGACTTCAAATTAATAACCTTTTCGCAGAAATACTTTATATAATTAATAATAATAATAATAATTTATGTTGACACAACAGAAACCACCTTCTGTCCTGTAAAATGAATTTAAGGGATGTCAAATAAAACAGCATGTTTAACTGCCAAAATGTGAAATGTATCCACATAAGTCAGTCCAAAAGTCTACATAATAGTGTAATAAACCCAAGCAGCGGCATTCAGTGTAGCTTCAGAACTGAACGAGAAGATCGTTGAGGGGAAAGTAAAATAGAATAAATGTTGTAAAGCAACAATATTTATTTGAAATAAATTCAGTAACTGGGTAAAATTGTACTTTAACCTCCAACCTTTTTACCATTTATAAGCAGCATATACACATTTAATAGTTTATAACACTATATATAATGTAGTTATAAGTGTTTATTAGTGTATTTGTCAACAACTATCTAGATCCAAGATGGCTGCCGCAGTACTACTACTGCAGTACAGCGCACTCACCTCCTGTGGGCTGATGTATAAACTGAACCCAGTTGTAATAATATCAAATATGCCTTCAGTTAGAATTGGTGAAAGTACAGCACATTATCAAAACACCTAACCTCTTCATACCTGCTGCACTTCTTGTATCCTCATGTGGCTGAATGTCAAGTTAAAGTGCTTCCTGTTTGCATTCTAGATGATGAAGATGAGGAGGAGGAAGGGAAGGCCTCGAAGGCTCCTCAACCGCTGTCCTCCTCTGCTCTGATAAAGCTGGCAGAAGGAGGCGAGGATCTGGTGGAGGACCTGGAGCTGTCTGATGACGACTGAGGTTCATAGGCACACTCAAGCTCACCTGAGAGACTTTTATGTTCTCGACTTCACCGACCAGCTATAATTCAAATCATATTGGACTATTTGCTATTTTCTTTGCTTTTGAATTTTGTATTACTTGACCTGTACAGTGCAAACATGTTGATGTTGTTTTATTAAGCATCTAAACTGTAAAAAAAGAAAGAAAGAAAAGACAGAGTTCAAGAATCCAGATTGTTTTCCTTTGGATTTTTTTTTTTTTTTTTTTAAAGATACTAATTAAATGAAGCGTGTACGTGCTTGTACATGTTGATGCACAAGTGCACCTGAAATGAGTCGTTTGTGTCCTCTGTACGTGTGCACACCTGTAGGCACCCTCAGGCCTTGTGAGGACGGGCTATTTGGAGAGAGCTACGAGCCTTGCTGAGCTGGGCCGAGCCAGGCTTGGCCGGCCAGGAGGAGGGGTACAGAGAGGCGGGTGTTTAGCCCTGAGGCAGCAGTGCTGTGCCAGGCTGGCAGGGTGGCGTCTGATGCTGTGCCAAGACTCTCTGCCCAGGTGGTAGAGCAGCAACACAGGCTGGTCTGTTTCTGTGCCAACTCCTCACCCACCCCCCGCCCAGACCACTGTCTTTTCTGTCTGTGTATTCACATGCTCAGACACAGCTTTCCTCCTCAAACTTATCCTCCTTTTCTTTCTCGACTTCACCACTAAACTAAAGGTGATACTGGCCTTTTTGTTGGGCGAACGATTATTGCATCCATTCACTGGTGTACAATGCCGGGCAGATGAGTTGTTTGAAATGGATTTAAACGCCACAATGGAGATTTGATTTGAGAAACACTTTTGTGTCGTCAGATTTCCTCTGTAGTCGTTTGCAGTGAATACAGAATCTTGTGGTGCAGAGGCCCAGCCTAAAGCGAGGGTAAGTCCCAGTAGAGTGCAGTGCTTCAGTGTAAACTCTTTGAAGGAGGAAGGTAAGAGTGAGTGGGGGCTGTTCCTGGTTCTGGTCCTGTATGTGTGTGTGTGTGGGGTGGATGTGGAGGGTCAGGTTTATCCCCACAGGCAAGGGAGGCCTTGGCCTGCGGCTGAACCTCACACTCTGACAGCTGGTGTTGACCTGAACTGTGCCCCCCATGGGTCACCTCCCCTTCTCACACACACGCATCAGGAGACCGCATACTCCCTCCTGCATGTTTTTACAGAAGAACCACAAACACCTGAAGAGGAAGAGGCGAATATACGTTCTCTGACACAGGCACACAAACACGAGAGAGAGAAAGCAGAGGAATTTCTTTAGGATTTATTTCACCTGTGTGGTGAATAGAAAAATAGGATGAAGACAAAACTTTTGAAGGGAAATCTAGAGACCATTTTTAATTCATTGCTTGCGTAGTTAAAAAAAAATCCATAACAAATTCAAAACATTTGCATTAAGAGCTTTGTGCCTTTCTTTTCCCTGCAACCAAGAGAAAACAAAGTTAAAGTATCTTTGGAATCCATCTTAAGGGCTAATTATAATACATATCATAATCTGCTTTATCTACTACATCAAAAGTCCTATAAATATTTTTTTCCTCATATTTATATGCTGAAGTAGCATTCAAGATTGGAGCGTCTTTTAATATTACACTTTTTAAAAAAAAATGGCAGAACAAAACAGTATGAACAGAAGTACCACCAAAGTTCAGCAAGTCACATTTTTCAGTAAAGAAAACCTTATTCGTGCAACTACATTTAACAAAAAGTAAAAGTACCACGTATGTAACCTTCAGAATATTTTCATCTTAAGCATGATTCTGTACAATTTTGCATGTTTTTCCTACCTCCCACAGTAGTCAACACAAGCGTACAATGACGTAAGCCGCACACACCATTGAGGCTTCTCCATTTCACCAACATTTGTAAGCATTAGTATGTCAGTAAATGACAGCTCTGCCTGTGTCACCTCAAATACAGACCATCACGTGAGGCACTACCCTAGCATTTCCCTGTTGGACCAGTCTTTCTCTGAGACCATTAATGCAAAAAGAAGCAGACACATTGTGAAACATGGTTTCAATTCCACACATCCGGTCATCTTTGGTATCGGGACAGTGGAATGCATAGTTGCAGTGATAAGAGGGAGCTGGTCAGATGTGGTGCTGCTCAGCATATGTTTCAACTCCAGCCTCTATAAAGACAGCTCCACGCTGCTGTTTGGCCTCGGGGAAACAGGCGAGGAGAAGGAAAGAAGGGAGGGAAGGGAGGGAGAGAAAAAAGGGGTGAGGCGTCTCTTTTTAATTCCTGGGTTCTGTAGGGCTTGTGGTGAGAGCAGTCAGAGAGATAGAGACAAGAGAAAGAAAGCGAGTGAGCAGAGCTTCCTCCAGCCCAGGAAGGAAGGAAGAGTTTCCGCTAGCGTCTGACTGTCTGACTTGCAAGAATGTCGCATTTGTGGCAGGGCTTCGCTCCTTTTTTTTTTTTTGGCAGGCTGTCTGTGACCAGCTGTCTCCTTTTCCTCAGTTTTCTCTTTCTCTGTTCCTCTGTCGCTTCACGTGTCTCCCTTCCAACCCAGTTTGTTTGGATTCTGCTCGGCTACAGCCACTGCCGAGGAACTCAGAAGCTGATTGGTTTGTCGGATACGGTCCATATCGTCTTTTATTTCAGTCCAATATTTTCCCATTAATTTCAGCGTAAAGGTCCAGAGGTGGAGGGAGTCTGGTTAATGGGGCTTGGGAGTCAATCTCTCTGGGTCAGGTTAGTTTGAGGCAGGTCTGCCCTCCTCGCCCCTGCCCGTCCTCTCCTACGAAGGAGTCTTGGCCTCGTATCTTCCCACCACCGTGGAGCCGTTACCGTTTTCCTGCTTGGGGGAGGAGCACCCTGGGGTGGGGCCGCTATACGGAGAGGAGCTGCTGCTGGTGGAGGTGCGTCTGTGGGGCAGGGACAGGGAGAGAGGCAGGGGGGTGTCAGATGGCGTGGTCAGGGGGTCCCGATCCCGTTCTGGGGGGCGTAGCGCGGCAGAAGGCGGAAACGGGAACGCCAGCGGGAATCCAGTCATGTAGAAAAGCCTGCCAACACGGCGCGCCACCTGAGGAGACGGGGGGAGACCATATGACTGTCAGTGCAGCCTGTTGAGTGTTGAATAATGGACTAATGCTGTATTTTAAACAGAGAGAGAGAGAGAGAAGAAGAGAGGCTGCAGTCTGTGGGGCTGGCTAAGTTTAAGGGAATCATCTATGCTACACTAGCTAGTTTGTCTTTGGCCTACGGACAGAAACACACATTCAAACACACAACAAGTCCACTTGATCACACACAAACACACACGCAGGTCTGTGGTGTGTGTACCTGTGAGCGGATCTTGAGCGCAGGCCCCAGCTTTAGTCCCATGGTGCTGAGCAGGTGCTCCTCAGTGAGCAGCGGTAATGTCTCTCCATCAATGGCCTGCTCCCGAAACACCTGGCAGAGACACAGCCGCTTCAGCCACAGCCCCGACATATACACACAAACGCACTACACACACGTTCATTCACACAACCTACAAAACAGTGGCTCTATTCCAAAATGTCACACACCCATTTTGAGAGGAAAAGCTGAAGATTATCATTCAACATTTTTACAAGGATGCAGGTGTGGAGAACATGTGGGCTGATTTAGGTTTTAAGCAGCATTTCTGATTTAGTTTTTTTCAGCTGTCTCTTTATATAATATCCACATGCACATATGTGTATTGAGTGTTATTGGTCTCTGGAATCAGTCCTCCTGTCCAAACTGGCCATAAAGAAATCTGTTCATAGCGTGACTTCAATATAAGAGAGAGAGGAACACACTTTACAGTATTACTCCTTGCAGAAAGGATTTTCATCTGAAGTTAAAAGGGAATTTCGTACCAAGAAGACAGCTGAAGTCTCACATTAGCCTCAGATGAACTTTATAAATCTTTTCGCTTGGAACAAGGACTGTTTCCATCTCTTATATTGGAGTCACGTAAGGAAGGAATTAACTTCACACTACAGCCAGAATGATTACAGCGACACATATCTGCATGGGAGTATAGTTTTTAGACTTTTCAAATACTTATTTGTTTTTCTTTAAAAATGTATGTTCTGTTTTGTGAAAGAGAGAAATAAAAGGTAAGACTGGTTCATTTTTCTCAAAAGCTGGATATTTCATTTTGGAACAGTAGATGTATACACACACAAATACACATTTCATTCACACAAACTACAGGTGTACACCCCACATGCACTGCTAACTCACCCTCATTCACACAAAGCCCACAAATATGGCTACAATGATAAATATGGCCATTCATGCATCCACACACATCCACAATAAACATGGAAAAAACTGCTGTGCAGGTTTAGTGCTTCTATCGATATATAACGAGATGTCTTTTTTGAAAGTACTACAGTAGAGCTGCAGTCTGTATTATATCTTGGTCACTATTCTTCTATGGTTTGTAGTCGTCAGCCTGCCCCTGGCCTCTCTCTTTCTCTCTCTCCTCCCTTTCCCTATGTCCTCACCTGTGTGTATTCAGCACATCCAGTCAGGCTGCTTATGAAGCCACACACGTCCTCCACACTCCACTTGCTGATGTCCTCCACAGGGTTTGTTGTCGCTGAGTCCTCCCCATCCATGAAAAGACCTCCCATAGAGCCTGAAAGAGCAGCAGTGGGTGAAAATGACATGTCAATATAAACACCGTGTACAAAGTTGCTATTTAGACAGAGGATGTTTTTAAATTTTTTTTTACTGATGCAGAACCTGAAAACTGCGAGCTTAGAGACACATTTGAACTACATTTAGGCAAACGCTGACAGCACATTTTCTGAAGTCCTGTGGTTTAGTCATCAGGTTGAGTTTGAGAAGAAAACTTTTAACAAATAAATGATAAGGCAGGTGGAAGTGGGTCAGTAATCTAGTGAAGTAGTAATGATTGATTTCATTATCAGTTAATCTGTGAATGATGTTTTGTTCAGTTTGTAGTTTATTGTATGTAAATGTATACTGAAAAACAATGCATTTCGTACTTTTGCCTCATAAATCACTTAATTTGATTAAAAAAAAAATAAGAATGAAAAATTAGAAAATTGTTGTGGAATAACTTTCTGTTGTGATTTATGGATAGGCCAACAAATAGTTTCAGATCTACTGACAAGATTTCAATCTTCTGTCATTAAGTTGCTCATAGTGGGAATTTGTATAATGATGAGATAAAGTTAGTTTATGGTTTTCTTATGTGTGCAGTAATAAGTTAAGATAGCAGCTGTGTTATTACGCATATGGACATGCCGTGTGCGTGTGTGTGTGTGTGTGTGTGTGTGTGTGTGTGTGTGTGTGTGTGTGCGTGTGCGCAGTATGTATGTGAACAAATAAACCCCTCCTCACTGCCCACGTGGCTGTGGTGTGCATGAGGGTCACAATGGGGTCACAATGGGGTCAGAGGCAGGGCCCCTAACAGGGAGAGGTCTCCACACTGGAGACACGCACACAGAGAGTGACGCTAATGGATTTCACATGTTGTCTTTCTTAGCCTTATGTGTGTTTGTGTGTGTGAGTTTCTCACCCGTATGAAAGTAGGGATTGGCATAGGGGAATCCAAAGGGCAACGACTGGGCGTGAAGAGCGGGCAACGGGGGCATGAACCCAGGTGGCAGGTGGTACTTGACTTCAGCCTTGCCCAGTCCAGGGGTGAAAAGGTGGCGACTGGGTGAGTCGGTGCCTGCTGAACTACCAGGGGGGCTCAGTCTGCCTGAGCTCTCTCCAGTCTCCTTGGCACTGTCACATGTTCCCTTGCTGCCAGTCTCTTTACCCCTGTCTCTCTCCCTGTCCCTGGGTTTACTGCTGGACTTGGCACTGACACTGTCCTGCCTCTCCTCACACATCTCTGTCTCACTGTCCGAGTCCTTCATCTCCTCATCCTGCACCTCCCTGTCTTCCTCTCTCCCTCGATCCTCTCTCCCTCCTGTGTGATCCCCAGCACGGAGCAGTGTCTGGGGTCCCCTTCGGGGGGCCTTCCTGGAGTCAACATCTGGCCCAGCAGTGGAGCTCTGTGCCTGGGTGTCTTTGGGTGTGGAGGACACCCCTGGTTGTTGCTGCTGGTGGTGGTGGTGGTGGTTGAGGGTTAGGAGGGGTGTGGCAGCCCCATGGCGAAGCACCAGCATTGCATTTGAGCGGCGGGCCAGTTCCTCACGGAGTGGGTGACCCTCTGGGATGTCATGGAGGCTCCGCAGGGCTGGATGGTCGGGGGGAAGACCAGGAGGTAGAGCTCCCAGATGGTCAGAGCCCAGAAGACGCTGCTGCTGTCGCTGGTGGAGACTTTCCAATTCTTTCTGTCTCAGCAGCTCTGCCGACATCTCAAGTCTGAGGCGGTGAAACATACAGGGACTTTAACCTACATTTATATCACTGCTTGCATGGGAGTACATTAAAAACTGTCCACAACTTTGCCTTATCCAAAAAATGTCATTATTACATACTGTAACATTACAGCGCACACACACCTGGCCAGATTCTGCTTCCTCAACATCTCCTGTTGCCGAGCAAAGATCTCGGCTTGAGCTGGTTGGAGGAAACTATAACCTGTGATAGAAACGGAAAGAGAATGTGCGCCTGTAAGCAAACATTTGGTGACATGTAAGCTCCCAAATGTGGAAATAACACAAAATCTATGAAAACACACAATACAATTTGAAAAAGTATAATTTAATCATCCGGTTTGGTACAGAGCCATGGAAACTCTACCAGTGCAGACATATATGTATATTTTACAAGTATACATACATGCCAGGCATACTCTATGCATACCCATTGGTACTGTGCATTAATATGAACTATAGCCTTCGCATGATTGATGACTCACCAGGGGCCTGGCAAAGAGCTGAGGGCATGCCCAGGAAAGGAGGCCGCAGGTGAGGTCCTAAGGCGATGTGAGGGGCAGTTGGAGGGGACAGTAGGGGAGGAGGGTGGGACAGTTCTCTGTGGACACAAATATGAAAAGGACAACTTTTAAGTTCAAGTTGGATTTCATTGGATATACTATTGACTATTAAACTGACCAAAGCGAGTGTGAGGGGCTGCATAATGTAAGATTCCCTACGTTAAAAGAATAGTTTTAATAATTTTGTGTTTTCCTCTCCTCTCAGTACGTCTCAACTCTTTTTTCGTGCGTGTGTGCATGCTGCCACACCAATGAATGCAGTGTATTTTTATCAGTGGTGCTCCAGAGGCCCCCGTGTCGCCCCAGTGCCTCATCAGTCTTGTCACGCCGCAGCAAGCGCCGCTGGCCATTGCTGTACCCTGGACTGCTGCCTTTCCTTCCTTCCCCTGCCGCCACACACACACATACACACACACACACACTCTAGACTCACACACATAATGAGGGCTGAATGCACAATGCCAGTGTGTCATGCTCCGACAGCTGGGGCGGCCCCTGCGTCTTGACCGGGGCCACGGGCTGAAGGACCTTCTAATTAACACTCATCCCTCCTCTCCTCTCCTCTCTCCCTTTTTTACGCCCTTCTGCCTGTTTCCCTCCCTTTCTCCCTCTCACTCTCTAGGCTGCATTGAAACCGGTGAAAAGATGGAGCGTCCTGCAACCTCTGCTTCTGAAAAGGCCTCTCCATTATTGGCTTCCTCTTTTGTCCTCCTTGAGGGGGAGAGGCGCCTCTCACCTTTCTCCCTCTCTGCCTCTTGTTCTGTCTTACCCATCTTTTTTCTGTTCTTTACTCCCGTCTTTCTACTTCTCTATGACCTCTGAAAATCTGTCTTGTTCACTCCTTTCTTCTCCTCCACTTTTACTTCTTTTACCTCTCCCTCTATATTTAATTCTCTCCCCTCTTCATCACTCCATCTCAACCTGTCTCATTCTGCCTCGTGTTGCCTCTCTGTATTTCTTTCAGTTTCTCTCACAGTTCTTTTTTCACTGTAATCCTCTCTCTCTCTCTTTCTTTCTCTCTCTCTCTATTTTGTCCCTTTTTCTCTGTTTTTCTCTCAGTTTCATGACATCTTCATGGGTACAGGGACATGGTTTTAAAAAAGCGGATACAAATCTGTCATAAGAGTGAGGCATCTGCACCTTGACCCTTTGAAAGTGTCAAAGTGTGTGAGGCTTCGAGCTTGGAGTGGATGATGACGCTCACTGTCCCAAACCACAGCCATTTCCAGGGCCTTTCCTGAGCTCACCTCTCTAGCTTCCTACCCACACCTCTTCCCTCTCCTGTCTCTCTCGTTTCTCTCCTCCTGAGCTGCTGCTATCACACCAATCAGAGCTCAGCTGTGTGTGACTGCCGCTGCACAAAAGCATACATGGGAAACAAGCTGAGGAAAACAACAAAATCAAAACCAACACTGGGACGCATGCAACCGCAAATATTGTTTTGCAAACGTGTTCAAATTAGCTAGCGCCTGCATGTCTCCTGCCTCACTAAATGGAGAGAGAGAGAGAGAGAGAGAGAGAGAGAGAGGAACTGCAAGGAGGGAGGGCATGCATACAAGAGCGGGGAGATGAGATGGGGGGGGAGCCAGTACTCAGAGGATGGTGGTGGTGGTGTGGCGGGGGGGTGAAAACCATTCATCGATCGTCTCCGCCGCTGAAATGTTAATGCTAATCGTATAACCGCTCTCTCCGGCGGTGCCTCACACTCCAGTGGCAGCTCCAATTAATCTTGGGTGAGGGCTGCGGCGCGTGACCCCGGAGCCGCGAGCCGGGGCCCCGCTAGCCGCTGCTTATGTAATTACACCGCCCAGTGTGTAATCACCTGGCCTAATCCCTCGGGGCTAGCAATTAGCCTTGCGACGCACAGTTCCACTAGGCTACGTTAAGGCGTCCGCAAAACTCCCATCCACCCCCGCCATGGCTCCCGCATGCCAAGCTCCCATCACCCCCCCCTCCTTTCTGATATTCCCTCTCTTTCTTCCCTCTCCTTGCACCGCCTACCCTCGCCTAGCGTTAGCCCGCAGATGAATAACGGTCAATTAAAGCTGCATGACTGGGGCTGCCAGGCGTCTGCGCCACCATAATTAGGCCTAATCACGGGGAGTGAGAGAGACTGAGAGAGAGAGAGACAGAAGAGAAAGAGTGTGCGTCTGACACTCCCCTCCACTCCCTTCCTCCATCTCTCCCTCTCTTCCTCCTTTTATAGGAGGCAATTTTAAGGGAGGAGTGGCAGACATTAGCCGTTTTGATCTGGGGCTGTGTGTGTGTGTGTGTGGTTTTCTGTTAGGCCTATCTGTGCATTTTGTTGGCAAACCACTAACATGCTATAAAAAGACGAGGCAAAAACACTTTTGCATGAGACTCAAAATAGGCAGATTCACAAATGCAAGGTGGGCTCATAATCACGCAAAACTATATCACTGGATGCTCTCTCGCTCTCTCTCTCTCTCTCTCTCTCTCTCTCTCTCTCTCTCTCGCTCTCTCTCTGTGTCTCTCTCTCTCTCTCTCTCTCTCTCTCTGTGTCTCTCTCTCTCTCTCTCTCTCGCTCTCTCTCTGTGTCTCTCTGCCTGCAGTGAGGCCAGGGGCTCCTGGGGAATTCACTGGTGTGTGACGACCTGTCAGAGTGGCGACAGCGGTCCCGTCCCGCAGCAGCCCAGGCAGTGTGTGCGTGTATGTGCGCCTGTGTAAGTGTGTGTGTCCGGGTGTAGGGGAGGGTGTGTGTGTATGTGTGTGTGTGTGACAGGGCTGCCCTTAATGACGGGAGCGTGGGGGGATTAGGAGCGCCGCGCGGCCGCCCTCGGCTCCTTCTCCGCAGGAACACATTTACACAGGAAGCTCATTAAAATGGATGAGGCTCCCTCCACGCTCGCGCTCTCGCTCTCCCTCCCTCCCTCCCTTCCTCTCCTTATCTCACACTCTCTCGATCCCCTCACTCCCTATTTTGGTTCATATCTCTCTCTCCGTCACTTCGTCCTCTCGCCATCTCCTCTCTTCCTCTCTTTTGCTTCGCTCTCTTCATCCCCATTTTTAACCCCCATATTTTCCTCTCTCTCTCTCTCTCTCTCTCCCCCCTTTCTCTTTGCTTTTCTCCATCCCTCCCTTATTTGCCTTGCAGATGCTTGGTGAGCTTAGTGCCATTTAAGGCCAGACAAATGGAGCGCCAGGCTCTAAGCCCATCGAGCGGCCCTAATGATTTGTTTTTAACAATGGGCCCTAATGGGCCCCAGATAATCAATGATGAGGGGTCGATGGAAAGGTGAGCCACGGAGAGAGTTAGAGAGGGGGAGAGGGGGAGAGCTTCCGTGGCTTACTCACATTCTCAGCCTCTCTGTTTTTTGCTTTTACCTGCCAATTATCTCGATTTTAATTTTCTCTTCACTTTCCACTCAGGTCACTTCTTAACTTTTTCCCTCTTTCTTTTTTTAGCAGGTTCTGTATATTTTATGAGGGCTGGATACAGTCTGGCCTTTAGACACATGTACACCATGGACCCAAAAGTATGTGAGGTTGTTGAACATCTTATTCCACACCTAATGGACATTGATATGCTGATATGACGGCCTCCACTCTTCTGTAAAGGCTTTCCTCCAGATTTAGGACCTGGCTGCAGGGATTTGTTCCCATTCGGCCACAAGAGCATTAATGAGGTTGTGCTCTGATGTTGGGTGATAAGGACTGGCATATTGCCTGCAATTCAGTTCATCCCAAAGGCATTATCATTTTGAAACACGAGGGCAACAAATTTGGAAGCATATTGTTGTAAAAAAAAATATTTAATGCTCTAGCAACAAAATTTTTCCTTAATTGGAAGCAAGGCATTGTCCACATACTTTTGGCCCTATAGTGAATTTGTACATGAGGATGTAAAGTTGAAACATACAGGTTTTTCATCATTCTTTGTCTTTTTCCCTTTTGTTCTTGCACTCTGATTTGGATAATGGCAGAAAGGGCACTTCACCATATTTTCCTCATTAAACCATCTTATTTATTCACTTAAAGTTCCAAAAATTGAGAGTGAAAGGGTTAAAAATGAGGCAAGGGGAGGTAGAGGGGGACGGAGTGAGGTAGAGATGGATGGAGGAAGGGAGAGGCCTAGTTAACTCTCCCCGGTCCTGTGTGGCTAATTACTCTATGTGCTGTCGGAGAACAGCCGCGGCTCACTGACTACATTCACACTGCACTACTGGCCACACACACACACACACACACACACACACACACAAATTAGCAGACATATTCACACAAACAAACCCAAATTCAATCCACCTAGATGAGCACGCATGCAGACCGCCAGCTTGAAAAATGGAACAAACAAACACATGAACAATCAGCGCCCCCTCAACACACACACACACACACACACACACTATATATATACACCCCCACAGCCTCCCAGAGCTGCACCACACAGCGCCTGGCCGCTCTGCTTCCTGCTTATATCCCCACCTCTACCCCTCACCACCCCCTTCTCTCTCACACGCACACACAAACACACAAACACACACACAACCCACCACCCCCCCTGCTGCCGCACCGCCGGCCCATTATCGATCCCCCGCCTCTCTCCGCGCCACATAAATAATCGACAAGCAATTACCCGCCCACTCCCGCTGCCCCCGGCTTTGTTTGGGAGGCGCAGGGGCCAGCGCTGGGGGGAGTGGAGGGAGGAAGAGCCAGGGATGCAGGCGTGCAGCTCCACAGTGATAGCCAAGAGGTTATTGGATCCTTAGTTTAGCCATGTATGTGGAGATGCACATGCATTCACACACACGCACACACACAACCGTGCACTGCAACACACCGAAAAAAACAAATATGAGACCAGATCTTGCTGAGGAAGCTAGGAATTGGCGGAAGAATGGAGAGGAAAAAGTGCAGTGGTGTGGTGATGCAAACTGGCAGGTGATTAACTCCTTCTACTCTTTCTCCTGCTGACAACCTTTTTCTGAAAAAACAGAACATTGTTCCATTGTGATTTCCACATTTATATGCGCTCACATCAACTGGCGCCTCTTATGCAGTATATATGTGTGTGTATGTGTGTGTGTGTGTGTGTGTGTGGGGGGGGGATGTGTGTTGGGCTCTATTAATGATGAATATTGCTGGTATTGCAAGCAGAGCAGGGTTGCGGTTTCAACAGCTAGCTACGGCTGGGCTCATGTAGAGATTTGGATTGCAAGCTAGTGTGTGTGTTTTGCATCCATTTCTTACCTGTCGGTGTAATGTGCATCCCGGTGCTGCGGCAGACCCTGCTTGCGTCTTTGGCTGGACGAAGAGGAGCTCCCCGCCGAGGGCAGGTGAGCTTCTAAGGCCGCTGGATTCCTCACGGCTGCAGCCAACGCCTCCTGGCGAGCACGCAGCATTTCTGAAATTAGGAGTGAAGGGGCGAAACAGGGAGAGCACAGAGGAGGGAGAGAGATGGGAAGATAGAGTTGAGATGACAAAGATGATGAGGGATTAATAGTTGAGGCAAAGAGGAAAGAAAAGACGGATCAGAGGAGGCAAGGTAGGAGGGAGAGAGAAGCAGAGAGACAGGAGAACAAAGACAAATTAAGTATCCAGCTGGTAACGTCTATTCTAAGATATTAACAGAAACAAAAATTTTTTAAATCTTACTGACTATACACTTCACCAGCTTATAGTTGATGGCTTATGTGAAGTGTGTTGTACATTAGCTGTAAGTGTGAACAAGTGTGGCAAAATAGCGCAAGTGAAGCATACTTTAAAAAGTTGTTTATTGTCCTGTAGTGATGAATGTGAGGTATGCAGATAGCTCATAAAAAAACTCCACTCAGCCCATTCCACATTAATACTAAAAAATGACTGTCATGCATTTTCTAATCCCCATCTTACATATATATATATATATATATATATATATATATATATATATATATATATATATATATATATATATAATATATATATATATATATATATATGCATACAGACACACATCAGCAGATAAACACACACACACACACACACACACACACACACAGACACACACACACAACAAGGATAAACAAAAAGGACATTTTGGCAGAGGTGTATGAAATTAGCACATAGCACTAAAATCCATCTGTCACGCTTTGGAACTGAGCTGACCATTTTTAAGCAAATGTGAGGAAATGAAGAGGTAGACGCACAAAAAATGATTGTGTGTGATGTTTTCTACACAAATAATGGCCAGCGTGTTTTTGTATGGACGAGCAAAAAGCGACTTAACAAGAAGGACTCAGTGTTTTTACCCCTCCCCACCTCCGCCACCATCAGGCCTTCTTCCCTCTATTGCTGCCTGCCCTCTCTCTCCACCTATTGCCCTCTACCGCTCGCCTCATTCCACCTCTTTCTTTGCTCATCCCCTCTCTCTCTCTCTCTCTCTCTCTCCCCCTCTCTCCCCCTCTCCCAGCAAGCCCGGTTCTCTCTCACCCTCGTAGGAGAAGAGGCCTCATCATTATCAGCCAGGCCAGGCCACACCAGGAGACATGGCTTCTAATGAGAGAAAAATCCATCCTGCTCTCTCTCTCCTCCCTCTCTCTGCCTCAATCTATCTATCCTCTCTCGCCGCTCTTCTGCGCCTCCTCCCCCCTCCCACCCCCTCTTTTTTAATTAGACAGATCCCTCGGGAGCTAGGGGCCATTTCCGCCGCCGGTACGGGTGTGACGTGTGTTTGTGTGTGTCTGTGTGATTTAGGTGCTTGCATGTGCGTGCCTGACTGTGTGTTTATGTGTGTTGTGTGCATGCGTGTGTGCGCGCTGAAGCAGTTGAGCGGGCGCCGAGGTGGGGGGGGTGAAGCGACAGATATTAATGCGGCCTAGCTCCGGTGTATCGATCTGTTTGCTGCGCCAGGCCGCAGGGGACTCGGCTGGCGGCAGACAAGGGTGTGTGCGTGTGTGTGTGTGGGGGTGGGTAAGGGAGGGGGGGGTTTGTGAGAGATAAGGGAGGGATCAGAGGGAACCGGAGCCCCAGAGCACACACATACACACATACACACATACACAGTCTGTTGTGCACTTGCATACATGGTGCAGGGGTGACAGGGTGGAAGAGTTGACCTCTGTGAGTTTCCTGTGGTCACAATCCCACCTCACCAATTATTTTGTATGACTGGGTCAGTTAAATGGGTACTCCAGCTATTTAGTATTGCACTTTCATAAAGTTTGGGGACTTCGAAGCGTCAGATTTGAAAAAGAATGGTTAAAATCAATGCTGTAGAGTCTGAGATATCCTGACTATACTGAAGCCAAAAAATGAAACAAGGAAGAGACCCCAACTTTAGGCTGCTCACCTTAATTAGGATCCACCTCTAAAAACACTAGAAAACTAGAAAACTATACTTCCCATAATGCAACTCAATAGTGGCTTTCACTAGAGTCTCCCTGCCTTGTACACTCCCATGTCTTTTAAACACCGCACACCCAGTTTGTTACGCGTCTCCAAGCTGTGCAAGTTACATATAAGGGATAAGTTACTTGAGTAATACATTTTTCTCAGACATAGAAACAGACTTTATACAACTGTTTCCACATTAATACTGAGTTATACTGTTATTGGTACTCACTTTGACAAGGGTCGTGACCAGGAAAATACTGAGGCTGTAAGTCCAAATTCCACCAGCTGATTTCACTTTTTATGAATTTATTTCGGTGTTGAATTGTATTTTCTATCATTTAAAAAATAAAAAAGCTTTTTACTAGATTTATTTATTTCACCCTCAATGCTAAATGCTAACTTGGGGCCCTGTCTTTGACATGTACAATTAGTTGAGTGCCCCTTTAAACGCAAACAATACAAGCTGTATAAAACTATGGAAATCTAATTTATTTTGATAATTTGTCTATTATTTCCTCCATTTCTCCTATTTTACCATTCTCTTTTTATCTGGTCCATGTTTGTAAAGATCTACCACTGGGTCCATATTTTGCACTCTCTCTTTCTCTCTCTCTCTAATTCTCTTTGATGTGAACTGAGAAGAGCAGGGTCACCTGGGGCTCTACCCTTCAGTGTGTGTGTACACATAGTAAGTACTCAGATTCAGAATTTCCCCCTCTAAAACTCTTCGCCTTGCAGCTGTTGGAACACAAGGGTTGAGTCCCTCCAACTTCAAATTGGGAGTCCTAATTGAGGACACACAAACACACACACACACACACACACACACACACACACACACACACACATCTCTTCCTTTCCATGAGTTATTTTGGGAGGTCCCAGTTTACCACTCGGACCCATCCCGCTTATCCCTCTTTTGTGCCATCCCATTTTTCTCCCCACCATCATTCCTGGAGTTGCGCCTAAATCCCCTCGGTTAAGCCGGGTTTTTCTCGGTGTGAGAATGCAGAGGAGCGCTGCACTGATACAGCTTGGCCGGCCTTGTGATGGATTTGGTAGACTGGCAGGTACACAAAAGCCGACATCCATCCGCTAAAGCGCACCATACACCAGAAAATTAAGTATCTTTTCAGGAAGAGGTATTCAGCCAGTATCATGGGCTTAGCCAGCAGTAAATATGTGGCAAGTTTGTTGCACTGAATGTCTGTATTTTGACCAATCATGAGTTTCCAGGCTCCTTGGGATGATGATGATGATGATGATGATAAAGAGATGTCGTCCACAGCTTCATGTTTTAAATCAGACTCAACTGCAGGAGACAAAACAGAAGCACACCCCTTCCATCCTGCCCCTCCTTTCACTTTCATCTGGATCTCTACCCCCACCTCTCTTTTCTTTTCTCTCTCCCTCACTCTCCTTTCATCACATGAAGAGGGAGGGAAAGCCCTCCTGGCCATTTCTACAACCCTGCCACCCCTCCACCTCCACCCCCAGTTTCATCCCTCCCCCCTCCACTTCCCTACTCTTCTTTTGCCCATCAGGTCCGGAGAGAACCTCTCAAACAACACCTTGCACCCACACATTCATGCACACATCCACACACAAGCACACAAGAGTTCCTCCTCACCCCTGCCTCTTTCACGCACACACACTTTAATTTTCTGTGCCCTACACTTCAAACACATGAAAGGATGCTCTGCGGGGACCAAGGCTAAAGGGAAAGTTGGAGGTGGGGGTAAGGAAAAAGAAGGGTAGGAGGAGGAGGGGGTATAAAAGCGGTGCTTGAGATGGAGATGTATAGGAGAGATGGCGGTGGTGGGGGCCCAGGGGGGAGGGAGGAGGGGGCCACAGGGGCCCCGTCGGAGACCAGGTCAATGTCAAGGGGCTCTCGCTGAAGTGATTCGCGTCAGCCTCTCAAGAGACAAAACAGCCGCCCCTCCGTCCCACCTATACTGTTTGTGTGTGAGAGTGTCAGTTTCTTCAACCTCAAACTGTTAATTGGAGACGGAGGATGTGAAGGTAGTGTTATATTAAGTTTTCTGCATAAACTTGTAAGCAGTCAGTGTGATAGATGGAGGAAGTTGCCAGGTGGGGAAGAAAAGGAAAATTAGCCACACCAAAGGCTTGGCTGTCAGGGAGCGCTGGCAAAGCCTGAGATGCCCATGGCTCATCATCCGCTTAGAGGATGTGACACGCACAAACAACAGTGGATGTGAACACACACGTCGCTAAAAGGAAATCTTACCGTGAAGTTGTGTTTTAAATGGTAGTTGTACCTGAGCATCATTAATAAGCCGTAAACTTGTATGTTTTTTTTCTTGATTTCTTGCTCCGGGAGAAGTTATTTATTCACTCTTCCCTCGTCTCTGTTCTTCCTTCATTTCCTCTCTCGTCAGTTTTTTTTTTTTTATGCCTATTCCTGGTTTCTCTTTACCTGTTTCTCTTCTTCTACTACTGCACATACTGTAGAGAGCTTTTAAGTGCGGCTTGGAAGACGAACGCACGTGTGCAGAATAAAGGATAGCATGGAAACTATCAAACGGTTTGCAATTTGGAAGTGAAGGAAGGGAGCGAGTGTGTCTGCTTCATACCAGCAAGGCTTCTGGGAAAGGAAGCCAGCAATCAGACTGCACCCTGGGCCATAAAACCCCCACAATGCACTGCCTCTTGCTTCTAACTCCTCTAAGACATGGGGAAAAGGCAATTAAAGCGTTTATAGGCTTCGCCCCCTAGATTTGCAGCCAGCAATTAAAAATCATTACTAATCAAATAAAAATAAAAGTAGCTCAAACTACAATTCGGCCAGGGCATCGATTGGATTTATGCTACTGCGAAAGAGCTCATAAAGACTGGTAGGACTTAATGTTACATTCTTTACAAAAATGTGAGAAAAAGGTTAAAATTTAATGGCAGGCAGAGTGAAATGAATATAAAGCCAGCTTATAAAATCCCAACGAGGCAACTTTTCTCATTTTCCTTTTTTCCCTATCACACTACAATTCTCTTAAGCTAAACCCAGTAAATTTTATGTGTCTATAGAAATTGTGAAAAACTGGGACACACTGGTGGTTTCCAGGGTGTAGGGAGATTTAGAGGGTTGGCAGGCAGCCAATGAGAGCTCCCGGATCAATCGTGGCGTTGATGCATGCGAAGGCTTGTGGGTGTTAACAACGGAGAGCCATGGTGGTCAGAAATCACCCTGACTGACACTTTGACACTGGGTGGGCAAGCACCACAAATAGAAATGTCAGCCATCTCCATGGCTGGGGTTTTACAATGGCAGCAGTGTGGCACACCTTAACATGGTACCCTGAACACAGTGCTACACTCTGGGGTTACAAAGTAGCACTGCATCTCGGTGACTTGGTGACAGGTGATGGAAGAGGTGTTTTTTATAGAAGCTGGTGAAGTGCTTCCAAAGGAAACCCTTTTAGTTTGAAGTAAATCTCAAGTTTCTTCAAACTAACTCTAAAGTTACTTCAAAATAAAGAAAAGGACTAAAGGAAACATACCTCTAGATCTTTCATGAGTCAGTTCTTACTGGTAGACTAGGAAACGCTATTCTGAATGCAGAAATCAACTGTGCACTGCAGATATTTAAAAGCCAACAGGATAACACTGAGGATGATGATTGATACACTCATACACACACACACACACACACACACACACACACAAATACTGTATAAGTCTGTAGACTGACCGTGACCAGGCAGACCCATGCTGCTCGCCAGCTGGTAGAGCCGTTGTTGTTGCTCCTCGTAGGACCCTTGCTCGCTGAGCGCTGACATCATGCGCCTGTAGTGCTCCTCAGGGCTCATGTGGCCGTGGCTGCCGCCTGCCTCCACCACCGGGCTCTGGGAGTTCTCTGGAGAGAAGAGGGAGACATTTATATTATGACCGTATCCGTCAATATACAACTCATCAGGAGATAAATACTACCTTGAAAATGCAAGCTGTAAAACCTCCATTAAGACATTAACTTGCTATTAATTTAGTAATAATTATCTTGTGTATTCATACACATTCATCTCCATGTCAGTCATGATTGTGAGGAATTTGCCTCAAGCACATACTCACATCAAATTGTAGTTCAATACCCAAAATCACATTTCAGTCCAACAGAAGGCTTACTGCAGCTTAGGAACCAGTCTGTTAACTTCAGAACGTTGTGTATCCTAAACACCAGAATTTCATTTGAGTAATTTTGAGCAATTTGAAGGGAGTGAATTTTCTGTCACATTCTGTGATTTTGGCTGATAAGACAGGTGTACTTTTAGAATACAAATCATTCCTTATGCGGGCGCCCGGTTAGCTCTGTGGGTAGAGCTGGCAACCCATGTACTGACATACTCTCTGACATACAAGCTTCATGAAATATCAGCCACAAAACATGCTTGTACACAGATCATTCATAAAGAAGACAGCACTGATGGATGGGATACCTCTTTGAATGAAGCTACATGCATACAACCATGCATTGTTAATGGTCTGAGCCTGACCTCAGCATGAACTCAGTAGGGTTGTTTTACTTTACTGTATTTTGACTGTTTTTAATGAAAAAAACACAACCAAAAGAATTTTAAAAAAGAAGAAAAAGAGTTTTTTCCACCGTGTGTGTATATGTGTGTATTACTGCTGTGCTGTGTTTAAGGTGTTGTGAAGACGATGTGGTGTATGATATCTATCTAGCTGTCAGTCCCCACACTTAATCTCTCTCTCTGACCTCCCTCCTCCCTCTCTCTGTCAATAGTAACATGATCTAAGGTAAGGGTGGTGGGGGATATGGGGAGGTGGTTAGGGAGTTAGAAGAGGGAGAAAGAGGATGATGGGGAGGAGGGAGAAGCAGAAGAAAGCAGGGGTTATTTTTACCACCCTCCTTCTTATTGAAACCTGAGCCTGGCCCCGGGCAGGCGAGCAGGAGTGGCGCTGAGGAGCGGAGGTGGGGTGGAGGTGGTAGTGGGGGGAGGAAGCGAGCACGCAAGCATCTCTGTCTCCACCGCCAAGCTCCAGCTAATCCACCCAAGGTCCTCAAGAGTATGTGAGTTTGTGTGTATGTGTGTGTGCGCAACTAGTCTGTGCCTGTCTAAAGTTTTCTCGCTCTCTAAACACAGCGGGGGGTGCCGACTTTGCAACAGAAAGAAAAACAGACATCATTTACACAGCGGCATCCAATCTCTCTGGCTCCATCCAAACACTACCTTCTCTTTCTCTCTCTCTGTCCCTCTCTCTCTCAATCCATTTCTCCACCTGCATTAGTCATTAAGGGATAGTGTCTGTCGCCAAACGTAAAGGCACGAAGATGTAACACACACAGAAACACACATACAGGTGCAGAGTCAGGGCTTGGGTGTGGACAGAGCTCAAGGTTAAGACACAGGATCAGCAGTGTTTTGAAATGGCTTAAATGCACTTCTCTGAACAGCAGGCTGCACACACACATACTCACACAAAGAGTCTACTTTATCTGTCTCCCTTATGCAAATATACAGCAAAAGAAGAATATATGCAAGGCGTATACAGAGGTTGTTTGCTTTAAAAGCCAAAAACCTAACCACACAGAGCACAGCATCAAAATAAAAACACATGAGCTCCATTCGCTTTAAAAGGAAGCCAAGCCTGAGTACACAAACAGACACACATACACACACTACCACACATCCACAAAAACCCATGCATCTTTCAGAAGCTGTGATGTGTCCAAGTAAGACTATAATGGCCAGGAATGACTACAGAGAAAAGAGGCTCCAGGCAGGGCTTCTGTCTGTCAAAGGTCACCCAGAGGGCAAAGGTCAATACCAGGTTCCTGCTGAGCCCTACAATCAATCTGACATCCAAATGCACTTACATAAACACGCACCGATCTATTTTTTACCCCTAACCATCATAAAATAACATTTTACTCATATATCAAATAATCAGAGCTATTTGATGTTGTTTGGCTTACACATGCTCCTGGAGTGTGTGTGTGTGTGTGTGTGTGTGTGTGTGTGTGTGTGTGTGTGTGTGTGTGTGTGTGTGTGTGTGTGTGTGTGTGTGTGTGTGTGTGTGTGTGTGTGTGTGTGTGTGTTGTTCAGGTGTCTCCAGAGAAGAGGCTGGATGTGCGGTGAGCTGCCCTTGGTTTTGCGGTTCTGCCTGCTGTATAATGCATCAGACAGGAAGTCTTCCTCGGGAGCCCAGAGGGACAGGCCCAGTGGCTGTGCCGGCTCCACGACAGGCGCCCGGTTTCACGTCGCGTGAAGGAGATATGAATAATAGAGGATGGTGACCGGATTGTAGTGCTACAGAGGGGCATTGTCTTGCCAAAGTGTTCTTTCTCAAGGTCCATTATTTATGGTGTTCTCATGTCATATATAGAGGTAACAGTATATATATTAGGAATGTACAGGGGCTATTATCTAAGATATTATTTAGATATTTTATATATATAGTTTATACTTATATTGTGTGCTGTTTGGAGGAGAGCAAACATAACAACCACCTCTGGTTTCCTGTTAAAGAGGCAGTTCACCCAAATCAGAGATATCATTGATGAGAACTGTTCAAAGTGAGGCCTGCTGATGGATCCGAGTAATGCAGATTGTACAGAAAAGTTTTTCAAATGTCATTTTTCAATATTTAGACCACCACAAATCTGTTCTGGTGCTCAAAAAATCCATCTTATTGTAGTAGCAGCAGAATCTCACAGATAAAACTCAGCAGCACAAACAAAAACAGCAAAACTGTCTTCATGGTCTATGCCATTCAGGGTTAGTGAGAATATACTATGTTTTGGTAATTTGGGCGTACTGACCCTTTACAGACTTCCCCCATTGTGTGTGTGTGTGTGTGTGTGTGTGTGTGTGTGTATATATATATATATATATATATATGCAGCTGTAAGTGTGTGAGAGAGAGGAATGGGTTAATACAGAAATGGCATGGAACTGTCTCTTCAAATATGTGAGAAAGTAAGACTGTGCGTGAGTCTGCGTGCGTGTAATCCCATCACCACAGTAACCTGAACACACTGACCACCAGCAGCTAAACTAATACTGCCTAATTTCTCCCTCTTCTTTACCTGCAGCTTCCATCCTCTGTGTTTCACTTTAACATTCAGTCATCCTGTCTTATTTCCTACAATTTTTACCCGTTTTACTCTCAGTAAATGCACCTCCGAGCACATCTGTAACATCACAACACACAAATACACGGCATGGTCTTACCTTTGGGGGATACGCTACGTGACTTCTTGCTGTCAGAGGGACACTCGCTGCTGCTGTTGGGAGAGAAGCTTCTCCTCTTGCCTAGAAGGTCATCTGTAAATACACACACACAAAGACAGAAAGAGAAGTCACTTAAAAAAAAAAAAAGACCAAAGTAAAAAGCTGTGGTATTGACGCTCTGCTCCATGTCTACCTGTATACATGGCAGCTGCTTTGGAAATGCAGAATTTGAAGGAGAGCGAAAAAAGACCCAAAGAGAAAAAAGTGATAGGTGGAGAGAAAGAGAGAAACAGAGCGAGTGAAGCAAGCCACGGGCGTCTGGAGATGTGCCTGTTCTGTCAAAAATGAGAGGGGGCCTGCACCGCCGTGGATGACAGATCTGCCCGGCTCATTCACGTGTGTGTGTGTGTGTGTGTGCGTGTGTGTGTGTGTTTGTGTATTTGAGGGAGGGAGGAGGGCTCTGTCTCTCTGTGTCTCCTCAAACGTCTCTTTCCAACAGTCTGTCCTCAAGTGTTATCACTGTTCTTCCTCTCGCTCTTCTCTTCTTCCTTTACTTTTTCCAGATGTTGGCACAAAAGCCTCTAACTGAACTAAAGTGCTCGAGAGCCTCTCAGCTGCTCAAGAAACTCCTCTCAGCCTACATTATGTCTATATCATGTTTTTAGTTTTAGTTTTTGTACCTCAACAGCAGCCACTCCCCTCTCTCGTAGCTGTCCTCCCCTCATAAACACACTTCTTGTGTCTACATCTGCTTCCTTCTCTTTCTCCTCTCCTCTAGGTGCATTTGAAACCTTCCTCCCATCAGGAGTTCTCTGTCTTTACTCCCATTAACACCCTCACTGCCTCTTCCTACTCCTCTTCCTCCCTGTTCTCCCCATACCTCCTCCCCTGCCACCAAAGAGAAGCATCTAGTGTACAATTACAGCACCCCCTACTGCCTTCCGCCTCCTCCTCCTCCTCCTCTCCTCCCCTCTCATCCCTCTCTTCCTTCCCACCCAATCGCCTCACCTCCAACCCCCTCAAACACACCTCAAATCAATACGGGCCTAATCAGAGAGGGAGGGGATGCAGAGCACAGCGCACGCAGCGCCGGCAGGAAGGAAAAAGCCGTTTGTCATTGCTCTCTCTCTCTCTCTCTCTCTCTCTCCCCTCCCTTTCTTTCTTTCTCTATTTCTATCTCATGCACCTCTGCTTTTTCTCTAACTCTGTTTCTTCCTCCACACAGACAGCCAACCCACAGCAGCAACTGCTTCCCTTCTTTCTCTTTTTTTCTCACTTTCTTTCTCACCTCTCAGTGCGTATTTTTAGGGATGGGGGAGCATTTTTTTTTCCCTCCCTCAAGGAGAATGGTTCCTCTCTCCCTCTGTCTCTCTTTTTCAACAAAGCAATTTTTCATCATTTGCACAGCATGTGTAAACAGTACGGAGAAACAATGAACAGGAAGGAAGAAAATACAAACAAAACAACATAATTTCGTAGCAATACCCAAGCAAATAACATTTGGCGATTTCTGTCATGTGTCCACTCCTGATATTGTTGTTACCTTAGGAACGGGCAGACAGTCATCAACAGAGGAGTGAAGCTAGAGAGGAGTCTGACCTTTAACCCTTAACCTATCACCCAAACTTATGTTCTTTCTTCTCTATAACAAGACACAGATAGACAGGGAGGGGAAAGAGACAGAAAGAGATTTAGACAGGACTCAGAGGATTTTGTTGGGCTGCCAAAGGAGCCCTGGTGTTGATGAGAGGGCGAGCGAGCCAACGAGAAAGGGAGAGAGAGGGAGAGGGAGGAGGTCCACTAATGATCCAGTGTTTGATGTTGCCTCTCAGGTCCTGAGGAGATCCACTCCCTATACCATCCTAAAGAGACAGAGAAGGGAGGGGGGAGCACTAATGGACAACTCGCGCACACACACACACACACACACACACACACACACACACACACACACACACACACACACACACACGCTGAATGTCTTTCACAATTTCTACTTTTTCTTCCACTTCTTTTATTATCACTCATTTGGTTTTTCTTCTCATTTTCAAATCACGTTCAGTGCATTTCTTTCACTGGTCTTTTTTTTCTGTTAAAAAAAAAATCCGATTGGAATATTAACAAAGAGAGAGAGAGAGAACCCCCACTTCCACCAAACACACACACACACACACACACACACACACACACACGCACACACGCTTACACCCACACCCAGAGCCTCTCATGATCAAACACACACACTTGAGTCGTCTCTTGAGCCGACCTCACTCAAGACACTGTGTCTCCTGAGCGAGTGCCCGAGGGCCAGAGATTTGAGGGCGGAAAGCTTTTAAAGCCAATTAAATGGGGCTTCTTAGAGCACCGGCGCTCCCTTTTAATGCCCAACCCTGAGTTCTTGCTAGCGTCTATGCTAACCCTTTTACTCCCACTAACCCCGCTTACAGTCAAGTTTGCTACCCCGGGCATTTCCCATCACCTGCTTGTTAATATGGCTGAAGAATTAGTGGTTATGGAGTCAAGAGTTTTATTTCAGCTTCAAGGCTGTGATTTTAACCATCAAAAGAGTGCAATATAGAGAAGTGTATATAGCACAAGCTGCTATGATATAGCCCCCTGGTTTTTTTTTTTGCCATTCTCGGTCAGCAGTCTGCAGGCTAACTTTTTTTTTCCTAAGAAGTTGACCTAAACACACACTATTCTAGCCTCTGACTCAGTTCCTCCTTGCTAGTTAACCTCCTCCTTATGTGCTGCTCCTCCCACTGAGAGAAAAGAGGGATGAAAACCATGGGACAGATAGAGAAAGAGGAAACAGCAGGACCAAAACCACTTCTCTTTCATGTGACACCACCAGGGCGAACCATCAGGCAGGGAAGCATTCCTCTTTCTTTCTTACTCTCTGATTTCCTCTCCTCCCTCAAACTTTAGTCCTCTTCCTCCCCTCTCTCCATCCCATGGAGCGTGGTGACAGCTCAGACAGCCAGACTCCTTAATTCCTCTCTTACTCCGTTAATCTGTCATCTTTATCAGGCCGGGGAGGGGGGGCTGTGCGGAGAAAAGGGGGGGAGTGACAGGCGGGGACGTGGGGTGGGCCGCCAGCCGCAGCCCCCCGATCAATCTCCACATTACAGCTGACAGAATGGTGCTAATAACTTATTGATCCCCCCACCGTGTGCCGGGGCCTCCGCCGGCCCTGAAAGCCCTGCCATTGATTGGCTTACAGGCCGATGCAGCTGGGAGAGGGAAGGGAGGAAGGGGGAGGGTGATGGAGATGGGGAGAGAGGCGCTTCTGCTCACGCTGAGGGGAGGATGCGCCACTGCCATCACATGCACATGTACACACACAGTAACAGTGCTCCACTGTTTGTCATGTCCTATGTCTTTTCATCAGGAAGAGAGGAATTAAGAGAGGTGAAGAGAGAAGAACACAACTAAAGAAGTCACGGGAAGAGAAGACTGTGTAGTCAACTGACTAAAATATGGCTGACCTTAAAGTGAAAGTCTGTGACATTGTCATATAAATAAATGTCCCTTTTGCAACTCAATATAGTTATGTAACACAATAAAAACTAAACCTGCGGGCTATTTATGCAAGCTTTTGTTTTTGTCGTTTTAAAGGCCTTCTGTTGGTTCCTTCCTGTAGAAATCGTCTGGTGCACAGGTGGTGATGTTTCCACAAGAACTGATGTTTCCAGCAGCAGTGGCTGGTTTGTTTAGAGTCCTGGTCTGTGACAGATAGCTACTTAAAAAAGTTTTAATATTGCTAATTACTTTGTCTTAATTAAAATGGGATTTAATTATTCTCTGATAAAAGATTTATTTCTGGTCATAACTTACACCTCATAATGAAATCTTGCCAATAAGGAAATTCAAAATAATAAAAATATATATATGTTTTTAATCAGCTGCTGTCCTCTGCCATTCTTAAATGCACTGCTTTCTTTGTCTAATATTTCCATGTCAACCCAGCATTCATGTGTCTTCTTCCACTTCCACTGTAACTTTTAAGTATGCAAATTAATATTCTTATCAATACAAGGCTCAAGTCACAGGTTATGAAAGGCTATTAAAGTTATAATGCAAGTTCACAAGTTTGCTATCTGATGTCAGTACTGAGAATGTAACAATACATTATGTTAATTTTGATAAGAGTGTACCTGACACATCTAAATTGTCAAATGAAATCCAAAGAAAACCACAAATATAAAGTATCGCTAGTACTGCTAAACACTAAAAATGGCACAGACACACACAAAAGGACTTGAAACTTCCGCTTGGTCCAGTGTCCACACTTCTTTTGGAAGAAATGAAATATAATATTCATAGGTATGTTTTCATTAGTGTATAATCACCTGAAAATATGCCTTTTAAATGAGCCTTTTACATCTACAGACGCCATGGGTCCCTTTCCGTAGAGGCTGCCATGTTGAACCACCATGTTTCTACAGCAGCCCAGAACGGACAAACAAAACACTGGCTGCAGATAGAACCATTCACACATTTCATGGCCACTGTAGTTTCTCCTTCGTGCTTGGAAGGGGAGGGTAAAGCAAGGAAGATGCAATCTGCAACTTTACACACTGGACTTTAAGGGCTTATTCTCTATATTTTTTTTTTTTTTTTGTCACCAGTGAATTTCATCTCTTGACAGATGCATTAGCATGTTTTTTATTTTTTTTATTTTTATGAACAATAACACAGAAGCCATTTTGTTATGGCCACCCAATTACATTCCTATTAAGCAGAAGGTTTAAAAAACAACCCCTATTTCCCCTTTTGCTTCTGTATGACAGAGCTAATACCATCAGAAATCCTTGAGTGTTTACTTTTGTTTAAAAGTGCATTTATGTGCTAATCATGTAATAACTAGCTGGTAATACTTTAAAAGCAATTCTCACCACATCAGTTTGAAAAAAAGGTCTTGCACAAACACGCTTGGCTGTAGATTCACACGCAAGCAAACATCTAAAACCAGGCATTTAAAACCACACACAGAAAGGTGCACACACTCAAACACACACACACACACACACACACACACAAAAATGTGCTCAAGCCCCAAACCACTGCTACAACCCCCAACCACACACACACCGACAGGCTGTAACTGCCTCTGGGAGACTGAGTGCAGGGAGCAGAGGAGAGAGAGAGTGGCGGTCCAAAAACACCTTATCTGCCTGTTTGAGTCTCCGGTCTGACCGCAGAGCCACGGTTTACAGTCTCCACAGGCAGCCAGACTCTCAGCGTCGGCGCCCCTGCTCTCCCCCTCCCTCCTCCTTCCCCTCCACCTCTCACAGAGCCTCCGAATAGCCAGCGGCTGGGGAGCGAGCAAGCGACTGAGGGAGGGAGTGGAGAAGAGAAGGAGGGAGGCAGCCCTCCTGTCTGTCCCTCAGATTTAATTAACGGCCCACTCCGGCGCATAGACGACCCGGCAAGCCTGCTTCCCTTTCCTCCTGACCCACACACACACAAACACACACAGCCGGCCGCCGCCATAGCTGCCGCCTGCCCTCCCCTGATACCACCACCGCACTCATTCATCTCTCTTTCCTCTGTCTCTTTATTTCCAAATGTTTCTTCCATCACTGCATCTCCGTCTCTCTCTCTCTGTTGCAGCCTTTCCTTAATTTCTCTCATGTCTAACTCCCTGTCTCTCCCTCTCTTTTGGAGGATAAGTCAAATAAGCAGAGCTGACTGACAGAGTAAATGCAATATCATAGACAGAGAGCTGTGTTAACCGTCTCATCCATCTCTAACTCAAATAATCCACCGCTTTAAACCTTTGTACACCCACCTATGTATTTGGACACAAATTTGAACCTGTGTTGATTTTGCGTGGGCATGCATCTGTATAACTATGTGTCATTTGTGTGTAATAGTGTGTTTGTGAACGTGTGTGCATCTAATTTCACTGGCAGACAGAATTAGAGCCGGTGGCTGATCGGATTGGACTTGTTTACAGACACGGAGCGAGCTGCTTAGGCAGCCTGTTAAATCTCCCTTTAATGGTCAAACGTACAGATTTTAGGACCTTGGACCCCCCTCTGGCTTTGCCCACACTGTGCTCACCCCTTCCTCCATCAACCAACACCCACCCACCTTTATCCCCTTGTGTCCTCCTCCATTAAGATAACTACTCAGGGCTCTGATTTCTCCATTAAGTTTAGCAGCTGATTAGGCTGGTATTTGGGCGGAAATCCGTCCCAAACCGGGGTTTAAGACACTGGCTGGGCTGGCTGTTGAGCAGTCTAATACCCTCCACCTTCCACCCACCCTGGCTGATATCACGGGCACCGTATGGACAATTAATCTGGCAGACAGAGGAGATGAGCACACAGAGAGAGGGTATGGAGGTGTTGAGTGTGGGTTGATTATGGCACTCGCTGTGCCTCTGGCTAATGGTATAAGAAGGGACAGGGTCAAACCGTGGAGCAAAGGTATGATCTCTACTGTTAAAAAGCCAACTCATTCGTTAATTATGGGTAAATGTCTTTATTTGGATTTGCTGATGGAATGTATTTAATTCAGCTAATTCTTTTGTCATTATCAAAATTTTAGACAACTGTTTTTCCTGGAGGCACAGGTCAGCATAAAAAAATGTATTATAATAGTCTACATTGATAGTATTTACTATAATTCGTACTAAACTGACTTCAATGTGGGAGAGCACTGAGAAAAGACAACCTTACAAACATTCGAATAAATAATATAAAAGCCTGCTACAACAGTGAAACTTTATGTAAAATCACAACAATCACCACAATAAAGGTTGAGACAGAGTTCAGAGTCATCAACAAGCCTCAGGACCTGAGTGTGACTTGCTTAACGCTTTAAAACAGTTGAAAGATTTAACATTTTTAATATGCAAAAATATAATAATGTGTTGACAATGCAAAGTTTGGGTTTCTGATGATGCATTGTTGTCTTTAATCATAACTTGTTGGGATACAGAACACTATACAATCATGTGTCACGAAAATGAGTACGACTAACCAACAAACATCCAGTATAGTAGGTTGATCGCTGAATACTGATATCTACAGAGGTTGTTTTACAACCATATGTCTTTGATGGCTGCACATTATCCCCATACAAGCTACTTGACAAATAGCTGTGATTAAATGTTGTCTGTGTTCTGTCTGTAAGCTGTAAGAAAAAGCTCTTAGCACACGCACACCATGGTTTCTCTGCTCACATGAAACTGGATTAATGGCAAACAAAGCTATTTATTCAGAGGTAATTTAAAACAGGGGGTTTAACAAAAATCCTGGAGTGCGGCAGAGAATGTGGGAAGAACATTAAGTAATCAACTTGAGAGCGACCTTCAGGAATGAGTAATAAGCTTACGTTAAATTCCCCCAATCACACAAATTAGGGTAAATTAAATGGGTGATGGAACGTTTACATATGTTACAGGAGATATATCAGGGCATATATCATCAGCCTGGATGCTAAGGAAGAAAGAAACAAAGAGATGAAAAAGGAAAGAGAAAAGGGGAATACATCCTGACAAACCTTTAAACACACACACACACACACACACACACACACACACACACACACACACACACACACACACACACACACACATACATACACACACAGAGAGCATCACTGGGGGTCCTACCTGTGTGTCCAGTGCTGGAGTTGTGGTCAGAGGCTGACTGGCCCTCGGGCATGCCGTGCTGTCTGGTGTGGTGCAGGTTGGAGATGATTGTAGAGAGGTCACTGTCACGACTGTAATACACAGACACACACACACACACACACACACACACACACAGGAAAGAGAGGATAAACACATTTAAAAGCAGCCCCAAACAAACTTAACTCCACAACGCAATCCAAACCAGTACTGTATGGGATAAAGCGGCAGCGCATAAATTCATACTATTTCACACACTGCTTACCATAGAAATCCTCCATCCAGACAGCACTATCCCCTCTAAAATGCATACCTCCACACAGACTCAGCAGCTACAAGTGGCTGTCCTGTCAACTGGCTCTTAGCTCTGAGGTGTGTAATACACTCTGACAGACTACCGCATCCAGCACTTTTGGGTCTCATCCCTACTCATCTTCCACACTAAGATGCATTAACGAACATATTCACAACTCATAAGTAGTTTAGCAGCTTAAAACCTGATTATGGCTCTTTTTAAATTCAGGTCGCCACCAGCTGTTTTACACAAATATGGCGATTGAAAAATGAACGAAGACAGATGACTAATATTTGAGATTGAAAAAAAATACTTTTTAACTAATTACTTACTTATAAGGTATGTAATTTTTAAAAGACAACACAATGGATCTGTGGTATATGACACTGGCTATTAAAAGAAAAGGTCTTCTTTTCTCTTGTCATGCCTATACTTCAACAGGAGGTCCTTCACAACAAAACTGTCCACAAGAGTCTCCTCAAACACCCTGTCCTGCCCTTCAGCAGCCAATGGAAGAGCAGGAGGAGGGTTTACAGATTAGGCCCAGATCTGGTTGGAGCCACTCTGCCCTTCCAAATGCTCCACCAGCCACCTCTCTAACATCCCCACACCAATGGACCCACACAACTGTGTCATGGAGGTATTTCATTTGCAATCTGATTACCATCCTGATCGCATTAAATGGCATAATGATGGGAAATAGGCGCTTCGAGTTTGAGGGGAGTGTAGCAGCCGTGCAGTACGAGAGTAGTCACAGAGTAATGGTAAACAGCTTGTGTGGTGGGAGAGGTGCAGGGTTGCATAGTATAAATCTTGTAGCTTACAGTCTAAATATCATTTACCATTAAAGGACTGTGACATATATGCTACAAGGAAGGTTCCAAAGCCCAAAAGAAGAGGAGCATTTACTATCATTTTATCCACAAAATAAGCCTGAAAACATGTAGTATTTAGACATGTCAGTTTGATGGTATCGGCATCCTCTCGTGTCAGCAGGAATCTCGTTTATAGGCTTAACTGGTAACTTTATTGAAAGCAGAATCATCTATGAAGGGGGTCTGGTATGACACAGCAAGCACAGTTTATGGGACAGAAGCGGTGAATGGTTCTTAGCTGCCACCACTATGACGAGGCCACACTGTTTGCGGCTGCTGGATTTGGGTTTTTACAGTCCCATGATTACAGGCTCCTGCTGTAATGTCAGGCTGTCGGTCGCCAAGCTGTTTTCCACACGCTAACAGAAAAGATGAAGGAAAGCGTAGAGGGCCTAATGCTGGCCATCACTGGCTTCACCAGTCACCTTTCAGTCACAGAGAACCAATGAGTCAGAAAACAGTCTCAGACAAAACAGTTACCACTGGTTGCTAAGCGAGGAGACGCTTGATTGGACTGTGACTGCAAACTTTTTAGACTAATGATAGACTACTTTTTCAGAGTGTAACTTGCTAAAATTAGTAGCTATCTGTGTCTGAGAGCTCAATGGTTTCCTTCTAAAAGAAAATTAGATGCAGGGAAGGTTTTTTTAATTGTGCTTAAAGTCATAATAATGTATCTGCGTCACCCAGTGACTCCAACAAAACACACATTACACACACTGCAGTTACACACTCCACTGTGAGAAACTGCAGCCAAATCCATCAATCAACTGGCTGCGTTATAACACCGCCCTCTGTCCATCATTTAAAGTGATCATGATAATGCCATCCTGAACTTCTCAGAGAGGTGATGGGGTTATTATCCTGTGGCGAAGTGGCCGCTCTAAGCCATGAACGGCAAGGACATTGTTAGTGGGGTAATTAGCGCACTTTTCCTGAGCTGTCCCGCCTCGGCTTGGGCTAATGAGGGCCTAGCCCTATCCCCACCCACCTCTGCCCTCCCCTCGACCCCCCTCCCCCTCTCTTTCTCTGGGTGGAGGCAAGGTCATACTCAAGCCCTGGACAATGAAGAGGGGGGTGGGGATGGTGTTTAAAACCCAGTCACCTGAGTCAGCGCTCCCTAAGGAGCTCCTAAGGCTGGGGTTAGCTGGGAAGGACGGGGGCCTCAGAGACGATTGGGAGGGGGGTGGGGGTGTGGGCTGGGGGGTCTGATAGCTAAGAAGGACATGAGCTGCCTTCTTATCACCCAGGTGCATGCCGGAGACAATCATCTCATCCTCAGCTCATCCCCAAACTGGTCAATAGTCATCCCCGGCCACAGGACAGACAGACTGACCCAGACACTGGGATAACTAATATGAGTTAATACTCAAAGCCTATTAAGGTTACTACTGATATCCAACATTACTGATACCGCAAATTGTGTATAAGTAATCAAGCTAATATATTGTGAAAAGTTAGAAAATGTTCCTGATTTAGGTCAGGAAATATCTGATCAAATTATTTTCTATACTTTAAACTTTTTGATACTTGATGTTCCAGACATATTTCTGGCAATACCCAGGCAGAATTTCTACTGCGGTTTTCTTTCAATGCTTCTAGTCTATGCATTTTAAATACACTAATCACTTAGCAGATCACTTATCATAGTCCCTACTACTCCAAATGACAATATGTTGAGAATTACTACATTCTCATAGTCATTTAAATTTTTATGCATTTCTGATCCAAGCGTCTCCATAAAAAAGAAATAAAAATGTCATAAAAATGTCCAGTGTTCCTGCAAAAATTGATGTCTGCCAGATCAGTTGTTGGGGCTCTTTCTTTTGTTAAGAAAAGGCTGTGTTCCCTTCTACCATTACAGTAAACGTTACTGTTCAAAATGTTCAACAACATGAAGAGACTCTTCTCCTGGCACAGGGAGTCACCTCAGTATAAATGCCCAGTAGTGGCCTGCTGTGGCATTGGCACGCGGAGCTGAGGTGGCGGGGCTGGAGGTCACAGTGTGAGCTGGCAGAAGCTGGCGGCCCAGGCACCCTGACGCCATGTCTCACACCACCACTGGGAAAGTGCTGACAGACAGACAGCAGGGATGTGAAGGTGGAGGAGTGGAGGAGGAGAAGAGAGAGCGAGAGCGAGAGAGAGAGAGAGAGAGAGAGAGAGAGAGAGACAGGTCGCAAGCGCTGTGTAACATCTGGTGCTCACAGGTTTATTGTGTGCTCTCCTCTGCTCTCAAGGCAACACACAGCCTACTCCAACCTGCACGGGTGGCCAACAGCAACATTCAAATACTACCAGGCAATATGTAATATTCAACAACAACTGCATAGCATGGACTTGGGCAAAATGCAGAGAAAAAGTGGGAATGAGTTAAGTTTTATCGGATGTTCCACGGGAAAAGTCTTTCATTTAGGAATTACCTATACTTTAGGACACATAAAGCTTTAAAGCAGAAATGTGGATTGGTTCCGTATACATTTTATATTTTGTCTGAATCCTTTGAGCAACGGAAACCCAATTGTCATGCTGCTCACAGTTGGCTCGAAAGGCAACCCGCAACTGGGAACCCTGCAAGCAGAGGGGGTAATGAATAAATACAGAAATAGATACATAAATAAGTAAGAGTAGCCCGGCTTCACTTCTCCTTGTTGTTCCTCTGCTGTACAGGCTGACATGAGGTCGATAAGGCAGCCAAGGGAGGAAAGAAAAGTAAGAGGGAAATAGAATATACGGTAAGTCCGCCATGTTGCATTTAAGGTCTCCTGCACTGAGCCATGGACATGGTGCTGTTTTCACCGGTAATTTCACCTCTGGCTCACACTTTAGGAGCTTTCTCCCTTTTAAATTGTATCCTTTTCCTAATTTATTTTTTTCTAATTCTAGTTTTAAGGAACATTTTGATTGAAAAAGCCAATTATTCATTATATTTACAGGGGGTCGAACTTTCAAAGAGCACACTGTTGTACTGCATGAGAGGCCAAAGCTCTTATTATCTTCAGCTGATGTCAACATACTGTATGACAGCACATGAATAGTAAACACTGTGTTCTTTACATGTGGAAATGATGAACCTCACGCTTCAAGCCAATGCCAAATCTGAGACTAAATCGCTGGAACACTGTTGACCATCTTTTTGTTGATCCTGTGTTTTGACAGGGAGTTGATAGACAAAATACTGCTCCATGTGAAAACAATGAGTGTCTTGCTGCTAGCCAACGCCCAATCAACTACTAAATTGCTGTGACTCTGTCGCCATGGTAAACACATTGTAAACAAGGCCAAAAATTCTTGAAGCGGAAAGCTCCTCTAGAAAGCTATAAAACCTCCAAGCTCACTAATTAGTGCTTTAGGGGAGAGCCATTTCCAGTAATTTCACACTGTCCGTGACCTCTTACTGGCATAAGGCAATGACACAGTTGTTCAATAAAGCCAGAGGACAAAATGTCAAATGCAATAGACATACAGTAGCTAACTCAGCATCAGTGTCTTTCACTCTCTGTGGTTATGAGACAGATTGAATACAGCATCTCCATTAACAAATATGAGCCATGCTGCTCCATGAAAAGATCCATTCTCATACAAAGATGTGGGCTGTAAAGGGAACATTGAGATAGTAAGTAGTAATATGAGATTCGTACTTATGTTTATGTACTTGAGCATCCTCTGTTTGCTTCTAATTTCATTAATCAGCCTCTTATCAACTTGAACCTGCAGCAAACACTACAGCAGCTCCGGCGTTTTCTCTCAATGAGCACCAAAGCGCACACTGCCTCAACATTTCACTGGGGTAAAAAACACAGTCAAGCAGACGGCAACAGTTCAAGGCTGTAATCAGGTCTATCGAAATCACGCCCTCAATGACTTATGCTAGAACCTTGCAGCTGAAGACAGAAATACTGGTACAAAACCAATTAGATGCTGATGATGTTAGAGGGTTATGTTTAATTCAGTATGTTGCTCATCTCAATCAGCTTTACTCCCTGGTGATTGGATGAGCACAGGACGAGATGGCTCTTGTATGAGGAGACCTAGTGTTAGCCCCGGACACTCTGACTATGTTGAACAAAAACCTCCCTCTTCCTACTTAATCTAGTCTGCACTGATACATATAACAAATATATATTTTTTGTCTTTTTGTAGATGGAAGCATTTGCATATGTAAGTGATCAAGTAGCAAATAGCCTCATGTCTGATTGAAAAACTGAGAACCTGCTTTTGTTTGTTATGGTGAACATTAATAATGGGTATGGTGAATTTTTTTTTCTTCTACAGGGCACAGGCTGAAAGGCAGACGTCAGCGGGTGTAACTTATAAAATCCACGGTGGTTGCCGGGTAATTACCCAGACTCTCAGTCAGCACTTTTCAATCAAAGCCTTGTTATCTACGGCCAACTGAAACAAACGCTAAGGTAGGCTTTGTTTTGCCCTTGAGTAAGACACTAAAATAAGTTACCGCCATCAAATATTTAGTCCCTGAGATGAAATCCATAAATCAGTGTTAACGAATCCAAGTCAGATACAAACAATCTGCAGCACTGATACCGAGGTGATAACAAAACTAGGTTTTATTTCCACATTTCACTTCCTGAGTGGTTCACAGGAGCCACACGAGACTTTAGTTCTGATACCCCAAGGAGCTTCCGTACACACCTTATTGTGATAATGATTATTTGGTCGGCTCCGTGGCTTGGCTGCACTTCAGTCTGTAGATGCTATGTGCTTATTCAGCAGGACGAGCTCAGATCTATGGAGCACCAAGTAAGCTAATTGTCTGTAAAGCAGGGAACTATTAATCTGGTTAAAAGAAGGTTGACCTGTTTATAATGAACCTGAGAAGCCGTCCGGATGAGAATGAAAGCAACACTTGTTGACACTGACAAGCAAATCCTCTTATTGCACAGAAGACAGCCACTTTAACTAACCAAACAATCTACTCTTTAATTTTACAGAAATTTAAATAATATATAATTAACTATACACTGAAAAACAAGAATGGAGTGGAAAATCAGTCTAAAGTATATCCTAATGTAATGCTCCCTCTGGTTAATTTGCTGCATGAGACATTATGTTAGGATAAAAAAAATTGGATAATTGACACATGCTGCTTGGATGTGTCCATGTAGATTCAAGTTACAGTAGGCAGGTTGCAGCAATCAAGTGGGTGTGACACGGTGCTGCCGCCAGCCTTGATGATGTGTGGATGAGACAGCACAGATACATCACACATGTATACAGAGGCCCTGTATTTTTCACATCCATTGGCCAAATCCAATTTGTTAAGACCCTTCTACGACTCACTTACGAAGCTGCGGTCAATGGAAATCACATTTCCGTGATTGGACATCCCATTATCCCGTTCGTCCAGACCCGCACTGGGGGGATAAAGCAGGGCTGAGACGGATGCCCAGGACAGACCGGAGCTGCGGCTCCAGCGAGTCCGTCGCCTTTCAAAGGGTAAAAGCCTGACATATTAGTCATAAGTGTTCTTTAAATTCATTATCATCTTAACACGCCAGCGGCACAAGTGTCGGGGGAGGGGAAGCCCTCTTAAATGAGGTTAGTGGATCCATTTAAAGCTTCACAGTTGCTGTGCTGTCCGCCGTGTCACACGCAAGTCTCAAGACATGAAAAACATCCCCTCCTGTAATGAGGTTGCACAAGCTGCTTATAATGCAGCTGGGGATTTTCAGAGGTTAATCAATGAACGGCTTCTGCATTATATCTGTCCATAGCCTGTCTGATTTCTGAATCATACAAATCTGTATATGTTCACATCACGTAATCGCAAATCCATGTGACGTTTATTTTAGATTCAAAATGTACTGATTTCTGTCATTTCACATGCATCAAAGTACTGATTGTTAAAGTATATATTTAAAATTAAAATCCTATTTTTTTTAGTTTATGTTGCTGTGGTGACCGTAACCCCACATGTGTGTTTGCATGTTTGAAGATGTGAACATGATTAATCGCTTGAATCCAAACAGGCTTTTAGTAAATGCAGTCCACATTTTTATGACAAAACCAGTCTAATGTGTATACAACACACTGAGCACTCTTCTCCATCCATTATTGTGGAAATTTTCAGTTTTGACAATTTGTCAGACAGCCATTAACTGATTCACACTAAACTATGACATGTTTGATTTCACTAATAAACCACTGACTTTCTGAAAACATTTAAGCTGTATTCCTAATATATACCACTTGTGGTATTATTATTATTATTATTATGGTTTGATGCCAACCCTAAGAAATAACAACAGCAATACTGAAAATATTCCTGTAAAGTAGATGGCTTTCCTCTTGCTTTGATTAAAATAACAACTATAGTGTGACTACAGTGTGAAGGAAGAGGATCCAGAGACTGACTGTGTATAGATACATGCTGGACTCCGCATTCAATATGATACTGAGGCTCTGTATTTCATAACTATGTCAAAACGTTCTTCACACTTAACCTGAATGTGAATGTTTTGTATGAAACGCTCTACGATCAAGCTCCCAAGCACAGCACAGGATGGGATGAAGCAGTGCGGTGACTCAGGTGACTCAGTCTTTCAATATCAAGTCAAGACAGATACACTGAGACTTGGCAGGAGCAACAAAATGCAAACCAACAAACCAATTAACACTTTCAAAGCACATCCATCCATTAGACTTCCGTAAGCAAAAGCCATGAGTATATTTTTGAAACACAGTTCTTTTGTCTGTTCGTCACAAAATGTGCCTTTAACACCTCAAAATTATCCTGAAATCACTTTTGATGGAAATACTACACACACGTCTGAGGTGCCACTTTTTTAAAAATAATGTTCTCCCGAAGAGAAGCAAACAAAACAGAGGACGTATTACTGTTAATTATTTTTAACAAAAGAAACACCTCAGAGGTTAGCATGACATTTTCTTCCTGCAGTGACTTCACTACACATCCTATGCATTTTCAGGTGCAATAAAAGCAATTACACGCACACAGAAAAAGGAAAGACAATGTAAGAAGTAAAGAAAGAGCTAAAAGGTCTGGGATATTAACTGGTATCTAACATGCTTGAACTAGATTTAAGCCATGGCTATAGAAGTCATAGGTGTCTCACCTCTTTCTCATGATACTGTAATGCAACTCGTCCTCCTGCTTGATGTGGGCATGATCCCCACTGGCCCGCTCACTGCCTTCACTGTCGTCACTGCTGAAGATGGAGGCCAGCTCCTTCTTGGGCACCCGGTTGGGAGGCAGGGGGATGGTACGTTTCTCAGCCAAGCGCCCACGGTTCTGCACAACAAGGCACAAAGTAAAAAGGAGACACTTTAGCAACAGAATTCATACTAGGTTGTCAAATTGTTGAATGTGTGTCTCAATCTGCATCATTGTTATAATACGCTGCATTCTCTCTGCAAATGCACATACACGGTGAATTAAGACTCCAATGTAAAGGTATCTTAGCTTTATTTTGCAGTATTGACTAGTATTGAGATTTGATAAAAAAAATCTATATATCCACACATATCGAGTCAGATGTTAACACCTAACACTATCTGTTAAGAAGAAATATACGTAAACACTATGACAGACGGTCCTTGGGATCATCTGACAGGGCTGTGTGGGTACATGAGACAAAAAAACAGTTTGGACCCACTGCATTAAATCATTGAACACCAAATTTTGTTTTAGACATCAGAACCTACAATCAAGCTTCCAGAAAAAAAAAAACAGTTCAACTGCAACGATAGAAACATCAGTGTAGCTGTCACCCATGAGCTACACTGAAACCACTGAACATAATCTGTAAGACTGACAGCCAGATATCATAAAGTCGTGCACTCTTTGTGAATAAATTATAAAGGAATAATGAACAAATCCTCAAATACTCTCTGTTCAGTCAACTGGGTACGTCTGCAGTAATGGAGTAACATCCTTTTGAAATAAGTGGGGTTTTCTTTCCTAGTACCAAACACAGAAGTCACGTTTACTATACTTTTCTACTCTTAAACCAAACTGATAGGGAGAAAAGTTGGTGGGTTAACTGAAGTGTTTATTTTGCTCCAAAGCTGCTGGAGTAAGCGGAGAAAAGAAGGGATAAAAAGGAGATTGTGGCCCTAGGGGCATTAGGAAGTGAAGCTGGGCGACCTTTAATGTGACCTGAAGAGGTCACTGCAGATTAACATGGTCCTATCACATAGAGAAGGAGGGGGGGAGGAGTAGAGATGGGAGGGGAGAGAGAGAGATGGAGAGAGTAGAAAAGACTGAGCCGGGGGAGGAAATTGGAGAAGAGCAAGGGAAGGGTAGGCTGAGGAGAAAAGTTAACAGGGGAGAGAGGGAGAGCGGATGTGGGTTTGTACAGGAGAGAGAAAAGGTGAGAGAAAATACAGAAATGAAAGAGAATGTGGGGAGTCAAAACATGAGAGAGAGAAAGCTCCACAGAAGTAAGGTCTGTCCGGTGTGGAGTGGACTTGGATTTGAAACTATATCCCCCCCCCGCTCTCTCTCTGTGCCTACATCTCTGCTCTTACTCCCGGACGCCTTCAAGCCCTCCAGCTATCCCTTCCACCACATGCAACCCCGCTCTCCACCACTCCTCCCCTTGCTCCTTCCATCCCAGGAGGTGCAGCAGCATGAGTGGCAGGCGGGGGCAGGAGGAGGGATTTGGGGGCTCCTAGCCAAGAGGCAAACAGGTGCAGCCCCTCTGGAGTCTCTCAAATGGCAGACATTAAAAAGAGTTGGGGGGGGGAGAGAGACAGAGAAAGATGAAAACATCCCCCAGGATGAGCAGGCCACAGAGTTCTGCACATTTCTCTCCTTTCTCTTTTTTTTTTTTTTTTATCATGCCTTGCCAGAAAAGAGTTTTTTTTCTTCCTTTCTTCTTTCCTGTCGAAGCTTTCTACAAGTTCTGCACAAGCGTTTGAGGACAGTGGATCACTTTCTGATACTTCTGCTACTTCCACACCAGGTCTAGGCTGTGGGAAGTTAGTGCTGGAGCTCCAAAGGGGCAGAAACAAGAGCTAAACATCACGTCAAAACAACAGTTTTCCATGGACGCAACCAGTTACATCTGTCAGACACACACATCTGCTAAATACAAATTCTCAACCTCCAACTCTCTTTACTGCTGTCTTCACATCATCCAGGAAAACACACAACTGCACGTGCGCACTACACTTCACCACCTACACACAAAAGCATGCACACACGCGTGCACACACACACACACACACACACACACACACACGCGTGCACACACACACACACACACACACACACACACACACACACACACCACCTGTTCCTGTTCCTTAGAATTCCCCTCCAAAGCAGGGGATTTTACTTGGAGCATGCCAGCAATATAGCGTATACAGGAATAGTTTGTCTAAGACCAGTCGTGACTGTGGCTGTGTATCTGTGTGTGTGTGTGTGTATGAGCGTGTAGACAACCACCCACATGGCCGTGACATACACAGGCTGACAGCCCCCGTCACTCCCCCCACCCCCCTCCAGCCTCTTCTCTCCTCCCGGAAAGCCCCGATCCTTTCTTTAGTGGCACTGACGCAGAACTGGGGGTGAGCTCCCACTGCTTCCGGCAACACTTCCGCAGCACGGGGGAGGGCTCTCCGAAACAAAACACGGAGCAAAACACACCCCTGGCAGCCCACGTAGGAGCGCTCAAAGGAAGGGCGCCTGAGCGCTCAGGCTCGAATGTGCACGCACAAACACACACGCATGTGCACAGAGCTGAGGCAACCTTACTGTGTGTGGTCAACCTCCTTTTCAGCCATGGAAAAAAGTCTCTCATAAAAGTCCCACTAAAAGCACCTCTATGAATATCACCTCCCACGCTTTTTGTCTGACAGTCAGGCAGCCAAGAAATATATCTGGGCTTCACATTTACACGCAAAAAAAGACACAAATACATACAGATACACACTGACCAACTTCTTACACAATCTAGACAGACAATTAAAATGGTCAGAAACACTCCTCATAAACACATAAATCCCTTCATTCATTCATATTCATACATTCATATAATACATTCATTCTCCAATAGATAGAGTATCCTCTGAGAATAACACTAGAAGTTGAACTTGATAATGGTGAATTATTTCTGTAATTAATTACTGCAAGTTTGATACAGCGACTGAAACACAAAGGGCAAACAGTAGTGCAGGTGATCACTATAGTTACATAACATATTATAAAACAGCCATACTGACTTTTTGCCAGTAACCAAGAGTGTCTTTAGCACCATTCACTTCACTTAATGTTAAAAATGTGTGGAAAGTTCCATAATACAGGTATAGTAACAGCAAGGTTTCTGAAATCTACCATGATTTTCACTAAACATATTATATTTCATAAAATATATTCACATTGCTGCAGTTTGTAAGAGATTTGACATTACACAGTTTATCGTACCCTCTTCATGCTCCACTGTTTAGGCCAATGGGCAGACACATTAAGTTTAAATGTTTACAATGTACAGTTAAACAATTGACATTATAACATTTCTGTTATTGGGTCCTTTTTTAAAATTACAATGAAGTTGAATCTGAAGGAAATTTGATATAATGGGCAATATTAAAGGGTTTTTAAGTCAATAAATATCAAGATTTTAGCTTTAGTGAATATTCACATCTTTTTCACTGGCTACCAAATTTCAAGAGAGACTTGAGTGGCAGTGAATGTCATTTAGCGTGGTAGAATGTAATCTTGGCTCACACTAAATTTACTGACACCCTTTGAGAAATCGCAGGAAATCAAACTTTCATATGGTCTTTTGAAAAACATCATCTGCATACATTCTCATTTAATAGGTAGATATACGTGTTATAAAGCTTGAATATTTCAAAGAAAAACAATGTGGTGATTGCATATGGTGAGTAATGTGCTTACATTAGCAGCCATATAGGTTCCTGTAACCCATTTAGGTCGCGCCCTGAATTCATACATTTATATCAAGGGTTTGGTTAAAAAGCAACAAAACGCTCATGCAGTGAAAAACAACACAGGCTAATATCACAGCAACATGTTGGCCAGCAAAGGCGTTTAAATCCAAGCAGAAATTATAAGGCAATCTAATGTTTTCTCTCTAAATTTATTTCAGACTTTTAAATGAGCTCTTGGTGGAAAACAGGACTAATACGTATGTTTTTTTTTCTTTCTCCTTGCGTTATTTCCTGAAAGGTGCAGTGCCCTGCCGCTGGCTCCAACCAGCATTAGCAAGCACGCACACACACACACACGCACACACACACACACACACACACACACACACACACACACACACACACACACACACACACACACACACACACACACACACACACAGCGGTAGCCGCCCGTGACATTCCTGCAGCTGCGGCGCTCTCTCTCCCTCGCACGCGCCCCCCCAGCGATCTCCCTGGGGGACGAATGCCTAATGAGTCACGCGCCTGTCTGCCGTTACCTCGAAGCATGTGTGTATGTGTGTGTGTGTGTGTGTGTGTGGGTGTGTGTGTGTGGAGGCGGGATGGCGGGCCGACTTGGCGCGAGCACCAGGGGAAAGGGGGAGGGGGAATGAGGAGACGACAGAGAAGGAGAGAGAGGGAAAAAAACGAGCGTGAGGAGGGTGGGAGGTGAAGCGGTCATTACCGTGCTCACATAAGAGCTCTGAAGCAAGGCTATAACAAACAATTTGTCTGCTGTGTGTTTGTGTCTTGAGATCACAAAAATATATATTTTTTTACTTTGTTTAGTGTCACCCCCTCCTCATCTCTGACTCACCCGTCCTGACATTTCCACAGGTGCACCTATAAAAGGTGATCAGCTACAAATGTGTCAGATTTCATCAAATTGAGAGCGTAACCAGTAAAACCTGAATGATCAGATTAAAGTAATAGTTTAATTCCAGTGTGTACGTGGTCCGCAGTAACCGGATTACACAGATAACCTAAAAGTTTATGTGATGTGTTTGATGGTCAGGATTATGTCTGTAAGGGACAGACAAAGAACATGGAGAGATTGAGTTGGTGTTTGCTTTAATAAATTCACAGAGCACCTTAATACGATCTCTATTTTACTTTGTGTTAGCTGTGACATGAAAGCTGTATGGTTGTCATCCCAAAATAATTTTTGTTTTCTTTTTCATCCACCACACCATGACGCTGTTTGTTTATTAAAATAAAACCATTTGCATAAACTGTACCCCATGACCTTTCTGTTAGGAATCAAACCGGTGAAAGAAATCAGACAAATGGCGCACTATACTGTAGAGGTCCCACATAAACTGACAAGCCTCG